GAGGGGTGCCGAGGCAGGGCTGGGATGGGAAGGGAGGCGCCGGGGCTGGGCCGGGCGGGATCCCGCACGGGAGATGATGTATGGGCAGATGTATCAGATCGCACAAGATAAACAAGCAGTGAATTTCATCAGGGCCCATCATGGCTTTAATTTGGCTGCCTAATGAGTCAGATCCAGCCGCGCAGATAAAAGTTGTCAGAGCCGCAGCCCTAATGAATTTCTTGCCACTTGTAATCAAGGCAGCTTGTCTGAGGGGGATGATTAATGGGCCCCAGAGGAGCTGCCGTCCCTCGGCTTCCATTCCCGCTAATGCAGTCGCCAGGAAATTAACCAAACCCCGCGCCGGGCTGGGACTGGGACTGGGCCGGTGCAGGGGCACCGATGGGCACCGCGAGGGAGAGAGGGGACAGGGAGTGAGGGGCTGACACAGGCACAGGCAGGGAGGGCTGGGACTGGGACCGGACAGGGAGCACAACACTGGCACATGCAGCCGGCACACAGAGAAGGGTCAAAGAACTGGTGGAGGGGCTGGGGCCCCCACCTGCAGCCACCAGCATGACACCACTGCCATGCAGGCTTGGGGACCCAGACCCATGCCCAGTCCCACGTCAGCGCTGAGCCTGGACGTAGACACAGCAAAGGGGACGCTGGAGCCCCAAACCGTCACTTGTGGTGTGGCCTTGGGTGAAGCCAGAAGAGAACCAGCAGCTCTGGGGCCTTACCCTGCCAAAAGCTGGGAGAGACACGTGCGGTCAGGGATGGCAAAGCAGAGAATGATGGCTCCCTGCCTGGGGGCTGTCTGCGCCTTGGGACCAGATGACCCAGTCTTCTGCAGCAACCTTTTAGCCGTAGCAAACCACCCAGGCTCCTTGCTCGCTGAGACAGCCCACCATTCCTTGCCCATCTTTGCCTCCCCCCCACCCCCAGCTTCAAACTCACTGTACTGTGTACAGGGACCAGCTGGCCCCAGCATTTCTGACCCAGCATGTCCCCTGCCCAGCACACCTCGCTGCTCTGCCCATCCCTGATCCCACTGGAGTCATGCATCCCTCTGGGGCCGTGTCCCTGCATTGTCCCACGGCGTCTGGTGTTGATACATCTCACAGAATCACAGAATGGCAGGGGTTGGAAGGGACCTGTGGGGATCACCCCATCCAACCCCCTGCCAAAGCAGGGTCACCCAGAGCAGGCT